CAGCAACACCCTCTTTGGTGGGTGACGGGGCTGCGGTCGACTTCTGTCCCTCTGGGCTGCCGCCGCCCTCCGTGCCTGCTTTCCCCGTGGGTCCCACTCCCCGTCCCCAACGGCCGCGCACCCCCGCCCCAACCGCTGCCTTTCCGCCCTCCCTCAGGCGACCGCCGCACCACTCACGGCTTCGCCCCGGGAGTTTCTTCCCTCGATCAAACCCTTCGTCTCGTTTCACCCCTCGTTGGCGGGGCGTGGGGGAGCCCCTCTGCCTGCTCGGGAGGGCAGCGCCACCTGACAGAGTTTTGGTAACAAAGTCGGTACTTTCCATGAAAGTGATACCCTTCAGTCATAACAGCGGAACGGCTGGGTTTTTTTGAAACCACCGATTCCTGTGAAATGGGATTTCTAGCATTGTGGAAGGAGTACTTATGCTATTTCAGTTTTCAAAACCTGTAAGCTCCTTGCTGTTTTCTTTCCTGAAATTCATGCATACCCATAACAGGAGTCTGCAGAAGAATAGATTGCAGTCCGCCTATGTACATGCAGTGTATTAAAAGGAATATGGCTTTGTTTTTACTGATAAAGGATGCTGCAAAAGAACAGGATTGTGTTTCCAGTGGTGAAAGTGTTTGGCTAATTGGTAACCAAACGTAGAGCTCATGTCAGATCCCAGTTTCTAGCAGAGTTGTATAAATTAGAGGTAGGATCATAGTGCACCCATGCAATGTGTATACAGTGAAAATTTGCTCTGTTAAGGCAAATTAAAGTCTTTAGCAAGCTCTGTAGCTTTCCAGTGTGATCTTTGTTTTCCATGGCACTATGCCCTGCCTTTGGTGGGCTCTGGTTATCCCTCGGCCCGTCCAATACTTGACAAACTCAAGTGTCTGCTAAACAGATTCTGCAAGGCAGCTGAAAATTAAGCTTACAGAGGAGACTTGAAGTACAGTTCTGTTTCTGTCTTTATCCCTTATATGTTATACTTGCTGTTTTTGATGAAGGCATTTTCCATGTAGAGTCAAAAAATAAGATGCATAATAGAGGTAATGGTAAAAAAACAGACTATAGTAATCTCTTACCATCTTCCAAAGATTGAACAAATAGAGGCAATGAGGTAAAAATTGGCAAGTGAATTCCTTGATTCCAGGTCATTTTTTATTTCTGTTTATTTCAAGGTGTGCTACATAATTTGTAACTATAAATGTATTCAGTGTTGATGCTTTCCTGCATCCCTTTATTTAACAAATTTGTTCCCAAAGAAATGTAGGCAAATTCATGGGCCTTACCTGCAGAGTAGTCAAGCTAGTATCATTGGTTTGCAAAATTACATCTTTCTGTGCTTGGTCACACCATTTTCCTCTTCCATAGTCTATTTCAGTGAGAAGAATTTTTTAAATTATATATTAGAGAAGTACTTGTGTGTAGCTTGTCATACAGAAGTGAAGAGTAAACGCACATCTTAATGTTCAGGAATATCTGATACCTGAATTTACTTTGTTCAGCTGCCATGTAAAGGGATAGAAAATATTACTCAGCACTATGGGGGAATTGTTGCATCAGGCCAGAGATGTTACATACCTGAAGGTTAGTCCATCTGCTTAACATGTAAAATAACCAGGACCTGGCATTGCGGAGAGATGATCCATACTAGAGTGTCATATATGAAAGAGAATCTCAAATTAGCCTAGAAGTTCAATGAGTAGACAAAAGAGCAAGTACAGAAAGTAAGACCATTTTTCCCCTCTAATTTAAATATTAATCTGTCATCCAAGCCAAATTATGATCTTTATGGAGGCTTGAATAATGTTTGAAAATGAACGTGGCTACAGGTATGTGTTAGCTCTAATTGTTTTTAAATACGGGTTATGCCAAGAAGACTTAATGACCACAGAAAAAGCAGAATACCTTTAATGCCCAGCATAGATATCCCCTCAGAGCCATGAAATGCATCGTGTTTCAGATGTGTGAGATGAATTTAACAGGCTTATCTCAACCACAAATGACCAAGGCTTTTGATTGCTTTGTACACAATCCTGCTTTTAAGCCCCTTAACTGTGATTGTCTAACCATTCCCTCTGGCCTTCCTGACATAAGCATTTAGTGTTAATATTGAGCAAAGGTACAGAACTGTGAACTGGCCATAAAGAGTGACCTGTTAGGATGCAAGAAAAACGTTATGATAAAACAATGTTTTAAAAGAAGTCACTAACAGTGGAAAGACAATTGAAGGATGTTGGAGTCTAATACAGAAAAGGAACAGCTTTTAGAATGAAATAATTCTGAAAGCTTTAGGTTAAAATCCAAAGTGAATAATGGATTAAGTCCTTATGTACAGAGGCTACATTAATGTTTAATATTAATTTTGCTTGAATGAAGACTTCAGGATTCACTTGTGAACTCTTTGCAGTGAACCATAATAAACTTCACCGAGCCTTCTCTATCACTTCATTAACATTTGCTGGGAAAAAAATCGGGACAACAAGCAAATATGCACTATGTCCAACAAAACTATCAGGCAAAGGTGAATTTGTATATATTTGTTTTGAGCTTTACTTGTGTATCTGAAACCACTTTTCTTTAAAGATAGGAAGTCTGATTAAAGAATTGCTTCTAGACCTCTGCAAATAAGTCTGCTAGAGGCAAGAAATTATTAAAGCAAGCCCTTTAATAAATAATCCCTTAAATCCCTTTGTGGGTGAAAAGTTCTGGTTTACTTCATGAGAATTATTACTCTCTATGTAGATTTAACAATTATGCTGCACCTTTAGATGTATGTCATATTTAGTGGCTATCTTTTTATTGGCATTAATAGAGCAGATCTAGTAGAATCCTAGATTACCATGGGGGGAGAAAAGTAACAATATAATCTCGAAAGGAAATGTAACTCTTTCATTTGTTAATCATAATCAAGGGCTGTAAAGTTCCAGCAGTATTCTCTAGGATGTTGAATATATCATAAATGCTGCTGGAAACTGTCCCTTGGCATCAGAGCTAATCTCCAATTGAATTAATTGAACCTACCAAAACATATAAATTCTTCCTTCCCCACTTCTCATTTAATTAAAATTTCCTCATTTGAGAAGAAATTTACCATCCTTGGCATCAGTGCAGCAAAGGTACAGATAATTACCCAAATAAGAGAGAAATAATTCAATATTGGTTTTTTTGTGTAGAAATTTGTTTGCAACTTGACAGTGCTGTTAGCATGTGGAAAAAAGCTACAAACTGTCAAAATGTATGTTGCATGCTGACTGTGGCACGTGGTTTCAACAGACATTTTCAAGACCTTTCTGCTGCTGTGAGCGGTGTTGGTTCGCATGGTTATGTGTAGAAGTGGCAGGCGTATTGTAGCTCGCTCTTTTAGAGTTGTACGAGATCCTTGGGCATTTTCTGCTTCTATGACTTTGCAGCTTCAGAATGGAATTTGTTGCCACAAAGCATGCACACAGAACAGCTGAAATTCCCAATGGTTGGGAAACTCAACACAAAACATTTCCAATCATTGCTGCAAACGTTTCACAGATCTGAAAGTCAGTTCATACTTTAATGAGGCTGCTTTAGTCATGTGAGCTAATCTGTGCTGCTTCTTTCTCAGAGTTTTTGTTGGAAATATCAAATGTGCTTTGGTTGCATATTGATGCAGAATGGGAAGATGCTGCATAAGTGATCTGGGTGATGACATAAAGTGTGGCCTGATGAAGTTTGCAGATTATACCATGCCGAGTGGGGCGGTGGACACTTTGGAAGGGACAGCAACCTTGCAGGAAGACCTGGACAGGCTGGAAGAGTGGGCTAACTTTATGAGGTTCAACAAGGACAAGTGGAAGGTCTTGCACCTAGGAAAACATAATCCAGTGCTGCAGCACAGGCTGGGTTCTAGCCGGCTGAGGAGCAGCCCTGTGGAAAGGGATCTAGGGGTATTTCATATTCCCTTTTTCTTTCTTATGGTTTGTTGGGGTTTTTTAAATTTGTTTTAGGTTTTTGGGGTTTTTTTTGTTTTTTGTAACACTGAAGGAGGGAAGAGGAAAAAAAGCAGCGCAGTCTTAGAGATTCCTGTGAGTTAAATAGTTTCTGAAATACTAATGACAGTACTCAGAGGTTTTTCCTCTGGCTATTTCTGTTTGACTCATCAATATTTGAGATGCTGTCTGTAGTTCAGTTCCACTCATTCAGTAACAGTAGTTAACTGGTAATCCTTCATCTAAGGGTTAAAGGATGCTTATCTGCGCATTTATAAACACGCTTACTTAGCTTCTGCCTGTTGAATACAGTAAATTTTTTCTTAAGAATCCTTGTCGTGTAGCCCGCTGTAGAAGTAACAAGAATGTCAAAACCCCAATGACTTTTAAACAGCATTATTTATAGCACTCTCCACCAGAATTAATGTGGTTTTTTCCCCCTAGTTATGGACTTTAATCTTTCTAATGCACATTTTAAAAAGCATCTGCTTAGGGCAGATCTTAGTATTCCTGTCCGTACAGGTATTTCTGCATGTTGTCTACCACAAACAGGCAGACATGACTCCACAGCATGAGGGGCTTTTTTTGGACAAAATTCCCTACATTTTGTCTTATCCTGCAAAGGCATTTTTTTTCCAATTTCTATTTTTATGGTTAACTACTTCAACCTCTACTTTTACAGCTATGACCTTGTTGCAGTAGAGATCCTGCATCAGAAAGGAATTGACTGCAGTGTGCTGTGCCCTGCATTTCTTGCCTCATGCCCGTATGCTACCAGAAGCTGCTTGAATACCAAGAGAGCAAGGATTTGCATTTCAGTATGTGCTGCCCAATGGGCTCACCCTTTTACCATTCAGGTAGAACACTCAGGTATCACTTTAAAGAGCACTAGTTTCAGACTGAAAGGGGCTTGATCTAAAACTGTTCAAAGTTGTGTAAGTACCAATTTTTTAGAGCTATTGAACTTCCAGTGACTTCCTTGAGAATCTCAAGGACTCAGTAAATTATTGCTTCTGAACACCTGTACTTTCAGCCAAGCGTGTGTACTTTTATTACTTTGTCATGGCAAGGATTCAGTACTCGTTTATAAAAATTGATGGGGAAATATAAAGAGTACACAGGGACATTAGTTACTGAATACCATTGCGGGGAAAAGGAAGAGCAAGAGGTTAATTTAGGAATTCTGGCTCACCATCCTGAGGAGCTGCTCTTTCTTTCCACTGATCACATCAGAGCCTTAGTGCACTATGTAAGCAAAGTGAGCCCACAGTTGACTGATGCGAGTTTTCCTCCATAAACATGTCTGTGGGTGATTTTAATAACCATCAGGTAAAAATTTTGTAATTCCTAAACTTTGGGCACAGAGAACTGAGAGAGGAGCTTCTTGCCTTACCTTGCGTTCAGGAAATGGACTGCATTTGATTATGTAAAGCGTTTACCTGACCTAATATAAGCATAGGCTAGTACAAATGTTATGTCATATGTCTTGTGCATGTTTCACTTTAGAGTGGGAAATCTTTCCTGTTAATCAAGACAGCTTTCTAAACTCATTACCTGTGAAAAAGGATCCTCTAATGCTTACAGGATAAAGGAACTTTCTTAGAGATATTAAAGCATATCCTACTGTGAGATACTTGGTTAATAATATGCTGGTTTTGCTGTTGCATGCCTTGACACAGGGGCTATGTGTTGCTCTAGATTTTGTTATTCTCAGCTGCCGTCCTAAAATCCATGTTGCTGGTGTTTGAGTGTGCTGTTGTTAATTTGTCTTCCTTAAATGCTTATCTTTTTAAAAAAGTGAGGTCACATATCAGTGATACCCTTAGAAAGTTTCTGCTGGATATAATGGTTATTCTCTCTTTGGCAGTGAAATCTGCATGTTTAACCTTCTCATAGGTATATAAATGCATGTTATGACAAATATGAATGTACTTGAAGAATTGAAATGCTGTGCATATGTGTGACAAAATACTTATTCTTCATATTAGATAAAATATACACAAATGTAGACACAGATTTGTATAACCTCACAGAGTGCTGTGAAATACACTCTTTTGTTGTTTAAGAGGCTAACTATGTGAGCGTATATGATCATAACAGATTTCAGGAGACTGACACATGCCTGATGGGCAATGTGGGTTTTGACCATCAAATTTCACAGACCATTGAAACAGAAATCCCTGTATCCTAATGAAGACAGAATTGCCTTGACTTCATTAAATTATAAAAGTATCTGGATAGGGGGATGCCAAGAGCTGAAAATAATCTGATTTCTGTCGTAACGCTTATTAATGTGTGTAGTGGAGTTGAGGTAGACAGAAAAGGAAGAGACTGCACAAATAACTGAATCAAAGATTGTGATATTTTTATGATAGGCCAGAACACTCAAAATAACAAGTTCCATCCAGGTGGAACTCTTTCAGCAGTGCAACACTTTGATTTCCTGGTTGTTCTTTAGAATGCAGACTTCCAGGAAATCTTGAAAGAAGTTGAAATTCTCCTAGTCATTTTGTTCATATTAAAGGTGCATAACTATGCTTTTAGTTGTTGAAGGCTTTCATTGACTTCAGTCTCAACTCTGAATTCCCTAGGTTTCTAACAGATTTGGTTATTGCTGATTATCTCATTTTTGTATGGCGGCTTTTTCTTAAAAAGACAAAGCAAAGATAACAACCCAAAGGGGGGAAAAAACCCACAAACACAAAAAAGCCCTAAACCAAAAAAGCCTATTGGTGCTAGATTTGTAATACGAGCTAGCTAATTTTGAGTTAACCTGCTAGCAAAGGAAATATTTATCAAGAGGGTTTCGGTCCAATTTGCAATGATAGTGAATGATTTAATTGATTGTCTTTATTTTTCTTACAGGAATTGTTTCCATTATGACTCTCACTGTTCTCACCTATGAACGCTACATTCGAGTAGTCCACGGAAAAGTGATTGACTTCTCCTGGTCATGGCGGGCTATTGCGTACATCTGGCTCTACTCATTAGCCTGGACTGGAGCACCTCTTTTGGGCTGGAACAGATACACACTGGAAATTCATGGATTAGGTTGCTCAGTGGACTGGAAGTCAAAAGACCCCAGTGATACCTCCTTTGTGCTCCTTTTTTTCCTTGGCTGTCTAGTAGCACCTGTTGGGATCATGGCCTATTGCTATGGCCATATTCTATATGCAGTAAGAATGGTAAGTTAATTCAAATAAGACTTCTCTTAATGTAATATTTTCAGTGAAAAATGTTGATGCTGTGTATTAAGCTTGGATCAGAGCCTAAATTTGCACTCTCACTTCCTATTCAAAATTTTGAGTGTTTAATGTTCATCCATGTCAGGTGCCACTAAAAAGGATGTGGGGTTGGAGGAGCTACCAAGGTCTACTTGTTGTGCAGTTTCACTGGGAGGCAGGTTAGTGAACTGCTCATGCTAACTAATTCATATCAGATTCTCATTTGAAAAGGGGGAAGAATAAAACTGCTGTTCTCCTGATGAAAGAACTCTCTCTTGCTTGCCACTCTTGAGAAGATAATGCTGTGAAACTCTTCCAAGTAGAGATTAAGCCCTGTTAAAACAGTTTACCATGTTAGGGCAACCCATTTTAATTTAGATCTTTAGTGTCAGAAAGTGTTAATGTTTCATATTCTATGAGTAGTCAGTCTGGACCCATTCAAGTTTGTGGTCAGTGGTATCGGCACAACTGGTAACTTACGGAGAGTGCTCCTATGCATGTTCCATCTTTTCCTTATTTTGTGACTCACTCGGACAACACTGGGAACCTGCTTCCTACTATTCTTTGTTAATAGAGATTTCATAATTTTAGGGTGACAAACTAAGTGGCAGAGCAGTACAGAGAAATTTGTTTATGAAATTTTCTTCTGCAACAAATTGCTGATGACACAAATCTACAGGATCATGTAATTAGTCAAAGGACCACTATGCATAAACTAAACCTGCTTATGCCAGTGGATGAAGGCAAGTTAGTTTTCTAAAATACTTATTATAAGTGCAGCATGTTTGGTTACATCACTGGATTTGTTGTTTTCCAGTAAATTTGCTATTCTCTTTCCTCCGATTATATTTTTACTCTTCATATACACAGTAAAAGTCTGGGAAGCATGATGTAAACTTCCAGAAGATTTGTGGTTCACAAGATAAGGTGTACAGTGTCTGTGCCTAAAACTAAATTAGCGAATTAGTTATTTATAAATAAATGTAGAGCTATTCAGTTGTGAGTAAAACATAGAGCTATTGTAGTTTACCATTTTATCTTTTTCTTCTCCAGCTTCGCTGTGTGGAAGACTTCCAGACTGTTCAAGTGATCAATCTTCTAAAATATGAAAAGAAGGTGGCAAAAATGTGTTTCTTGATGATCTCCACATTCCTAATTTGTTGGATCCCCTATGCAGTGGTCTCCCTCCTGGTAACAAATGGCTACAGCAAGCTTGTAACTCCAACAGTAGCTATCATTCCATCCTTCTTTGCCAAGTCAAGCACTGCTTATAATCCAGTCATCTACATCTTCATGAGTAGAAAGGTAGGTACATAAAAGATTTTCTTATTAGCCAATACCACAGTTGTGGAGTTAAGATCTGATTTACTTTAATTGGTAAAGCTTAGGTTTCTTTTAAAAAAATTGAACAGCTAGGATAAGTAGTAAAGATCTAGTAGAGTTAAAATCCCTGATGGTGCTTAAAGTACTGCCTTATCAGAAACTGGATTTTAAATGTCTGAATTCACACTGAGCACTCACATGAAAGGGAAGTGAAGGAGTGTCAGCTTTTAAGTGTCTAGTTTTGATAGTTTACCCATGAAATGGAATACAACTAGAAAACCTCATCTAAATCACTCCCTTACCACAACAGAACTCCATCAGAGAAAGTTCAGAATATCCGATGTCTGTGTTTTAGGAAGAAGAAACTTGCCTCTGACTTTTCCATTATGGCAACACAAGGATTGAACAACGTGGCATAGTATTTGAAATATACACCAGTAACACTTCTCTGATCTTCATTGTATTCAAAACTAGACTCTCATGTGGGTGACAGGGAATTTTTTTTTAGATGAATTATACACTGTTAAGAAGACATACTTACCTATGAGAAACAAGCTTTTATTTTTGTCTGCTTTTGTCGTCTTCATTTTGAATAATAGCCTGCTGATCTACTGGTGGTAGCTAGCTCATTTCAGTGCCTTACAGAGCAAAGAGAGCATGAAAGTATTTGGAGTTACCAGTGGCATGTCAAATATGTGGAAACTAGAAAACTATACATTTTTCTGTAACTCTTCAGTACTGTGAAGATAACTGCTGAATGCAGTTAAGCGATGTTGGTGAATTTATTAGACATTAAAATAGCTTCACTATATCCCAGAGTACCAACTGGAAGTGTAAGATGCGGAGTTCACAGCAGGGTGCCCCCAGTTTACACAGCTGCACGATATCAGAGCTGGCCTGGATCTGGGGAGCTAACAACAATCATGCTCAAAGAAAGTCTTTTTCAGCAGAGTGATTTTTTTTTTTTTTTTAAATACAGTGGCACTGACTCTGCACCTGGATGTCAGGCTGAGTACTTTATCTGAAAAAGATTTTTTTAGGTTCTGATACCCAGAAGCAAATCAAGCGGGTACCATGCACAATGCCAGTAAAGTCATAGCCAAGATAAGAACAAATCTGCTGAACATGCTTATTGGAGACGTATTGTGAAGTAGTTCTCACTTGCCTCTAATTCCAGATTAAGATCAAAATGATAATAGTTTTGCTTATCTTCAAGGTCTTTTGCCCTCAGAAGGAATCCTAAAACCAGTTCTCTATAATACCCTTCCTTTATCTGACCTGTTCTAATGTGGTTGTGCCTTCTCACTTCCATGCTACTCAGAGGTACCACATTATCTCTAAAATCTTCAAGGGCCCCACAGGACCATTCTTTTGCACCAGATTATCTTTCTCTGTCATCTTGTAACTTTCCAGGTCCCTTTCCCAACAGGACCTATTGCCTCCCCATGTCAAAGTAGGGTTCATTTCCTGTAACAAAACCTTGTTCCAAACTGGCATGTCAGATCTTCCTGCGTAAGAGCTGGAAAATGGTCACTGGCCATGCAGGATAATACAGAATAATCCTTAACACAGATAAATGGAAGACTGTTGAGAAGTATGTCCTACTCTCTTTTCAGAGCAAAGGTAGGTTGTTTCCCGCCTTGCCGCCTTTGTTGTTGTGGGGCTTTTGAGTTTCCAGTGGTTTTTTTTTGTTGTGGTGGATTGGTTTGTTTTTCTTGTTTGGGTTTTGTGTATTTGTTTGTTTTAAAATCCTCTTCATATGTTCCAGGCATGTCTTATTATGGGTTACTAAAAGAAGAGGAAGCTGCCCACTTATTTTTGCTTTTTTTAAACCAGAAAATTTCCCCAAAGGATCATATTTGAACTTTAGATGTGTGCAGACATGGAACTACCAAATGAGTGCATCCTTTGACCCCCATACCTGAATGCTTTGCTTTGTGAAGGGGAGACCATAACTGGAGCATTTATAATTATCATGCTATATACTGATACAAGCTTTCACTGAATACCTAGCAGCACTTAGTTACAAGGTAGAAGAGACTTTGTGTATCATAAGTGTTTTCTAGTTAGCTGAAAGACTTCTGTTCCTTCCCTAATCAGTGGCAGTATTTTAGTTCTGTGATACCAACCATTGAAACTTCATTTTACATCTGTGACATTCAATGCTTTTGTTAAAGTTCCAGACCCTGGAGTTAAAGTGATGTTATTTTCCTTTCAAGTATCCCCTTCCTCCCCTTGTTCCTTCCTCCTACATCCTCCTGTGAAGTGTTTCTGAGAATTTTCTTCCCCTGCAAGATAAAATGTGTGATTTTTGAATATAGGAACAATGCTTATAGCACACTTTGGATCTCAGTTCTCTTGTTCTTTGCAGATTATCAATCGCAGATCTTGGTGCTGGTAAATTATTAAATTGCATTTCAGTGCCCTCTGCTGGCTAGGCGATCTTGTTCGGCTCTGGCATAGAGAACAAAGTACCTGCTAAGAAGCCACCATGTTTGTTACAGCACTGAAACTAATTTGGAACAAAGTGAGCATATGCTGAATTCTGTTATTTTGAGTCATTTACTGTACTGCTGTCTTCACTGGATCTTACTGGATGATAGTGAACACTTAGGAAGTTGTAACTTCATTCTTTTTATTCTGTCTTGCAGTTTCGACAATGCCTTATGCAACTCCTGTGCTTTCGCTTGATGAGATTCCAGAGGACCGTGAAAGAGACACCTGCAACAGGGAATGACAAACCACTAAGACCAATAGTTATGTCTCAGAAAGCAGGAGACAGGCCAAAGAAGAAAGTGACCTTCAGCTCTTCCTCTATCATTTTTATTATCACCAATGAGGACACTCAGCAAATAGATGACAACAGTAAACATGAGACAAAGGTAAATGTCATCCAAGTAAAGCCACTATAGGAGTGAGATAAAGAGACATGAGAATGAGGTGGATGTCAGCCAGTATGCTGTCTAGGTTGGAGACCAGTTTCAGTGGCAGGGTCCTTGGGCTGCCAAAGGAAACTACATTCTTAAACTGTGAAATACTGGCAGGATTCTGCATCTGAAGCTCGGCAGGCAGTTCAGTTTTGGTCACAGTACTGAAATCTCTGCATCTGTGCTAAAATTGCTGACAGATGTCTTTACTCTGAATTTTCTTAAAGCAGATTGTAGGATTGCCATTCAGGAGAACTTGGTCAGGCTAGAGGAATGTGCTGACAGCAACGTTACAAAGTTCAGCAGCGGGCAAGCGCCAAGTCCTGCACTTGGGAAGGCAGAACGATGCAGAAACACAGCAAGCTGGGCCCTGGCTGCCTGGGACACAGCTTTGCAGAAAAGGATGAGCCCTGATGCACAGTGAGCAGGGCATGAGCCTGCAGGGTGCCCTGGCAGCAAGGACTGGCACCAGCATCCCCAGGCTGTATGGACAGGATTGGAGCCAGTAGTCTGAAGTGATTACACCCTCAACTCGGCCCTCATTAGGTACTGCATCCAGTTTTGGGACCCCAGTACAAGACAGACATCTGTAAACTGGGGTGAGTTCAGTGAAGCCCTCCAAGGTTGTCAGAAGTTGTGGAACTTGGCGTGTGAGGAGAGGCTGTGGGAGCTGCACTTGACCAGACTGGAGATGAAATATCTTCAGGGGAACCTAATAGCAGCCTTGCAACAGAGATGGGAATATTTTCAACAAGATGGGAGCAGGCTCTTCGGGGCAATTCATAGCAGAAGGATCACAGACAAGAAGCATGAACTGAAACAAGAGAGATTTGGGTAAGATAAAAGGGAAAGCTTTTTCACCCCAAGGACAGCCAAGCAGTGGAGCAAGTCAGACTAAAGATTTCCTGAGGTTCCTTCCAGTTTCAGTTATCCTGTGATTCCTGAACTGCTAGCATTCCTAGTGCACAGAGTTATAAGGGAGGAAGGAAGATGCAGTTTAGTTGGTCTGAATTAGTGCTTTGCAGGGTGGGGTGTGGGAAAAGGGTTGTTGACAATGACTAAGGTTATGGCTAAACCAGAAGCGCCTGGAAGGTTGTCCCTGTGTCCTCAGCAAGTGTATTGGGTTTTCTGTGAGGGGTT